CAAGTTTTGAAATAAATACTTCTGGAAAGGCCCCAGACTGCACACCGGCACACTACGCAGCAGCCGCCCACCTGGCCCCAGCCACAGAGGGTTCACTGTGTATGGAGCGCGGTGCTAGCTGGGTCTGTGTTCCCTGAGTCCACACGACCACACAAGGGCTAGTGCTTAGTGTCACCCTTGTTTTACAGATAAAGGACACAGCTACAAAAATCAGTGCCTCACCCAAGGTAACCCAAGGTCTTAACATCACACTCAGCTCTCTCCTCTGTCTCCTTGAAGGCCCTTCCAACCATGTGTGCCCAGCTTCAAAGGTGGATGCAAACATTTTCAGCTCTACAAAGGTCCCCTGACGCCCCCTGCTGGTACCCATTCCTCTGCTCAGACGTTCTCAAGTTTGGCTACAAGTTCTAAATGCCTGAATCCCCAACTCCAGAGCTTCTGGAGCCATTGGTCTGGGTCTGGTGTGGGCCTGGGGACTTCAAAAGCTCTCCAGGTGATTCTGAAATGCAGGGAAGGCTGAGACCCAGCATTCTCTATTTCCCCAACCCTTTTACATCAGAGCACCTTATCTCACTGCATGGGAATGGAACATTTGTCTGTGCTACTAACAGCAATGTGAGTTCCCTGACACAGAAGTTTCACAGTAACTTTGGGACCTTTTCAAAATTATGCGTTCCTGGATCTTACTTAAACACTAAATCTGATCTGTGGGCAGATTCCTGGATACTGTTCATCTCTTGAATAATTCTAATTTGCAGCCAAATTTGGGAATTTTCTCCAAGGTCAGAATTGGGTCTTTTCATTTGCAGTCGCCAGAATCCATCATAGCTAAACCACGATAAACATTTGTGTAATGAATGATCTCTAGTCATGTGAATCTGGGAATTGGATGAATGTATTTAATATTCAAGTTCCCTGCAGCAGCACACACAAAAGCTGCTTTCTGCAAAGGAATGCAAATACAGGTCAGTTTTTCAAATGCGGTTTTTAATCCACCAGTGCCCCCTACTGGTCTTAAAGCCAAACAGCTAAACCAAACCGACTACGGTTCAATTCACTGTATATGCGCATAACTAGTCAGTCACACACTGTACTTTTCCCACCAACACCTATACTAACAACTCCTTTGACTTCTGGTCCTTCTAGACCCAAAGCAATAACTCCCAAAGCCATGCCAACCTTCCCATTTGCTCTGTCCCCACTCCCAAGCTGCAATCACACAGGTGGGTACAGGTCTGCCAAAGCAGTGCCCTCAGCAACACCTTCTCTAAACCTCACCCCTAATTTTTTTGTTCCATAGTCAATGCCTCCTCCAAATCCCACTACACACATAAAATCACTCACCTTGAAAACAGAAGAAAGCATTTGCGTACTAATTTGTCTCAGTTCTTACTATTCAAAGTATGATGTGGGGGACCAGAAGCACCTATATTATACAAGAACTTGTTCAAAAAGGGAGACTCTGAGGCTCTACCCCAGATTTACCGAATCAGAACCTGCACTTTAGCAAGAGGCTCATACACACTAACGGTCGGGAGGCCATGGTTCTCAACTACTAGACCTAACACCAACATTACATGACAAATATTTTTGCAGATTCACAGAAGTTCAAAAAGCAAAGAGGTATAATGATTTGATGGTAATAGAGGAGTGCAAAAAAAAAAAAAGATTTACAGTAAGAATTGTATTTCCGGCCCTCCCTGGTAGCGCAGCGGGTTAAAGCATTGCACTAAGAAGCTAAAGCCACTTCTGCATGAGTTTATTCCCGCCTGCCGC